ATTTCGTTTAATGTTACTTGTTAAACTTTAAAACTAGATATGCTTTAAATGATCCTAGTTTCTCTTAGACAATCTTATCTTAACACTTTCANTGTATTCTTTAATTGAATTTCGAAATCCATTGTGTTCCTTGATCGGATTGCGAAATTCATTGTGTTTCTTTATCAAATTTTAAAATTTATTGTGTTCTTTATTCGAATTTTGAAATTTATTGTGTTCCTTAAACGAATTTGAAATCGGTTGAGTTTCTTAACTATATTTCAAAATCTAATTATTCTTCATGCAACCTACTATTTTCTTCCTACATCACTTGATAAAAATATCTTCGCATTACTTTCTAAAGTAATGAAAAACACTAGAAGGGAGGTTGAATAATGTTTTTGGAAATCCTTTTTCGTGATGATATTTGACAACCATTGATATAAATTGAATGATCTCACGAGTTACAAAATGTCTTACGCATAGGATGCTAATTTGACTAAAGTGTTTTGACTTAATTGTTTAGCTCTTATTTTGCAGTGTCCAAGAGAAGAAGCTCTTAAAGGAGTATAAGTATAAAAATGAGCATGAGTGTTAACTGTTCGTTTTACAAATATAAGTTGTGGTTATAATAAATGCTTGTAGAGTGAAAACATAATGCATACATACTTTATATTGGTCCACTTACATCTAGTTCACCACTAAGATATTTTAGAGGGTTCTATTAGATTTTCAATGAAGTACATGTGAGTATTCTCACCATTCCTAGTTACACTAATCATATATCCAGTAACCCTCGTTAGTATGACTAGAACCGAGTTTCACCCACTCTTGGTTGTGCAGTATTATTCACCACTCCTGGTATTTCTAGACAATCCCAATATCTTTTCGATACCTTGTCTAGTTGAGTTTAACGCACTCCTGGTTGTCGTAGTCAATCTAGTAAACCACGTTATTGTGACTCTGAATGAGTTTCACCCACTCTTGGTTGTGCAATATTCTTCACCATTCTTGGTATCCCGAGGCACTCCCGATATCCTTCCTACACACTGTATAATTGAGTTTAACCCAATCCTAATTGTCGTAGTCAATCTAGTAACCCCCGTCATTGTGACTCTAACTGAGTTTCACCTACTCTTGGTTGTGCAATATTCTTCACCACTCCTAGTATCCCTAGACACTCCTAGTATCCTCCCGATACACTATCTAGTTGAGTTTAACCCACTTTTGGTTTCCACTAGACAAACCCGTCTAGCTACCGTTTAACTCCACTGAGTTAAACGTCACATGAGTTTCATCCACTCTTGATTTTCACTAGAGAAACTCGTCTAGCTATCGTTTAACTTCAACGAGTTAAATGAAAAGTGTTTTAATTCTCTTTAGAATTTACAATGAAATAGATTGAATACAAGTCATTAGAAGATTACTCTCGCAAAGAGGATGTATATATAATACAATTCAATTTAATAGACTTTCAAAATTTTTCTCTCTTCTTACAATATTAAGCTTATGATTTTATGAAACTTGAGAGTTTTTCTTCTTTCTTCTAATCTTTTCTCTCTCTATTCTTACAAAAGAAGGTCTTTTACTCTAAATAAGTCTGAGAGAATTCTTGATCTTTCAATGAGGATGATCTTTCTTTGTATTCCTTAACTACTGATTCTCTCGCTCTTCTTGTTCAAACATCTTTTATTTATAAGCCTTTTGATAATACAAATATCTTTTGTACTCTTTGGCGCGAATTTTGATGGGAAGATCGTTCCACAAATGTATTTTTATCTCTAACATCCATTTCTAACTTGCATTTGATAGAGCAGGTGGATCTTTGACCTAGCTGATCTGCACATAGTAGAGTAGATATGCATGCAAGCAGATATGTCATTTTTCTCAATACTTTTTTGTTGTTTTAAGATGTTGTGTATTTAATGGAATTTAATGTGTGCCCAAAGCAACTAAAGTATTTCAAATATTCCATAGCTCAATCAACATTTGATCGTTCATGCACTCTAGCGAGGATACCAAGTGGTTCATAAGGGTTTCCTCGTTGGATGAAAGCTTCGTTTAACACAGGGTATCATTTAACCTGTGAAAAGCTTTTCCTGATGACGCCATGTTTAGTAAATACTTGTTTAGTTCAAGAGCGTGTTTAAGGAGATATTTTCCAGCATGTGTTTTTGAAACAATGTTTGTACCTTTAATATGTTTACCAAAAACATCATTTTATAGAGAGAGCTAGTCTAGGCTTGTTCGACGAGGTATAGCACAAGTGTGTTTAGCAAGATTCTCATTTAGTACAAGTTTTTGGATAAATGTTTAAGATTTTTAGCATACCTTCCAAAACCATCTTTTGATACTTTTATCTATCAAGACATGTTGAGAGTTTGTTTGATTATTGCTTAGCAATGTATAACACTAATTGCATTCAACAAAACTCTCATTGATGCATTTAATAGGGAGACCGTTTAGTTATGCCTGTGTTCATGAATTGGTGTGTTTTACTAAAGCTTTTCTTTGATGGTTTATTTATAACTCATTTTCACTCTTTGTTATGGGTTTTAAAAAGATAACGCTTTGTCAAATGTCTTTTTTTCCTGGGGTTATTTATTAGTTCTCAAGATGTGTAATGCTACTAAACGATCTTAACCTTTGTCTTATCAACCTTTCTTCTTGCGGTATTGGTTAGTCGCGTGACTTTTTTTGTGTTATTCTTAAAAGTGTCGCCATCTAAGCTAAGCATGTATTCTTATATTTTGCATATGCATTTAGTATTTTGTTAGTTTTATTTGATTATTTTTTGTACTTGTTGTTTTGTGTATATTTTTGGGCATACTATGTGTGGACTTCTTTTATGCTCATATGCTATTTTCAGTGTATCTTTTCTTTATGACATTGGGTACCTATATGATTTTGTGATCTCCGACTTTTGGTGTTTAGATGTTTTATTAGAGAGTGTAACCTGTTCTGTGTTTGTGCTATTTTATATGTTTATATCTTTGATTACTCAATACTATTTCGTTTAATGTTACTTGTTAAACTTTAAAACTAGATATGCTTTAAATGATCCTAGTTTCTCTTAGACAATCTTATCTTAACACTTTCACTAACCTTTATCACAAACCTCATCCATCTTCTTACTCCTCCAAGCAAACTCTCTTATTTTCTACTTCCATCCTTTCAAACACATTTTACACACCATCTCCTCCATTCTTTCTCCATTTCCCTTTAACCCATCACTCACCATGGCACAACCTTCCTTCATCAATTTCAAACCAACACAGACTCTTCAACGCATCCAACATCATACCTTAAGGCTTTTCCATACTAATCACTAGCAATAAAGATTCCACTATCAAGAGTTTATCAAAACAGACTTAATATTTCAAGGAACTTACCCACCTTCAAATTGGATGATGATGGTGAAAATTGTTATGGAGAGAAAGAATTGAAAATTTTTGGAAAAAGGAGAAGGAAAATTGGGAGAAGAACCCTACTCGGGGTGTGTAATAAAAAAATTCCAGGTATTTGAAAATGCATTTGGAAACATTCATTTTTGAAAAGAAAACATTTGTATTTCAAAATGTTTTAAAAGATATTTCCGTTTTGAAAAAAAATTTATGTTTCAAAATATTTCTTTTGAAATATAAAATAAATTTTTGAAATATATATTCTCGACAAATATTTCTGAATTTGGAAATATTTTTTAGAATATTTAATTCGGAACATATTTTTTTATATTTTTGGAATTAAATATTTTAAAAAATATTTTTTAAATACTTACCCATCATTTAACCTGGAAAATATTAAAGATGAAGAAAATAAGAATTTTTATTATGATTTTAACTAGGAATAATTTGAGAATTAGAAAGACCCTACACTATGCAAGTGTATCTCCATCTCATTTCATGATATATTATTATATCATGAAAATATCATAATAAAATGGAAAAAAAGAAGAAAAAGAAGAAGAAGAAAGAGAACAGACATGAGAGAGAGAAAAAGACCCTACACTATGCAAGTGCATCTCCATTTTAAAAAAAAAAAATTGGATAGGAACAAACTATAACAATTTTACACTATTCCCCAATTATAAACTATATAAGTTTGCTCACTTTACAATTAACTATTTTCAAACTCATACCAATAGTTTCTTATGATTTAGATGATAACCACAACTGTTTAATATCCTTCAATGCACACTCATTAAACTAACAAATAGCTTTTAACATAGAATCTTGTATTTTGTATTTTTTTTCTTAGGAACAATTGAATTTAGTAATTCAGTTTTCACAATTTGTTCTCACTTGGTTGTTTAATGAGTAACATAATTATTTTATGAATTCAGTTACAAACATGTGTACAAGAGCATGAGAGAACCCTGGTTGGATGAAATAAAGTTAATGTTATGAAAAATAAATTTGATTTTGGACGTGTAAAGTCTAAAAATTAAAAACAAATGCAGACAAGATTCTTTAAAAGCATAAAACATAAAGGATTAAAAGTCCCAACAAATAACAGCAAGGATGGCGGAACAACATAATATATTCAAAAGGCAAACAATTCCTTAACCAACTTAAGAAAAAACAATCAATCATCCAACGTTAATGCCATCATTAAACTCATATTTGAAACTAAAAAAGCCATTACTAATCATTGTTAACAAATATTAGTGATCGATGTGGGCCAAACCAAAACTGTTGAACGGCTTGGTTGCAATTGAAAGCAAACAAAGGTACAACGCATCCAAGGCAAACTCACTGTCCAATCTCATCATCAAAGGCCAATAAAACTTCTCAAAACCTTATTTCTTTAAAATTAAATAAATATTCTTACACAAAACGTGAATGCATGCATACCATCAATGGGACCGTTACTTCCCAATTCTAACTGATTGGGCCCTCAAACTTGCAGGTAGGCCCACTCTGTTGGGTACAGAGTGTAATAACACCGTTACATCCGGGCCGGGGCCCACATTCCTAGCTGGCACAGTCTGGTCTCTCTCTATAACTCCCTCTTTCCATTTCCCACTTTCCCCACATCAAATTCTCTCTTTCCTTTCGAATTTTGCTCGTTCAGATCAAAGAAAGTGTCGCTGTTGAGAATTGAGTTAGCTTAACCATGGCTGAAGAAGCTTCAAAGACAAGCACAGCTCAAGAGGAAGCTGTGGTCGCTGACGTTGCACCTGCTGAGCTATCAGACACCAACGTTGTTGTGTCTGTAGTAGAAGAAGAAGAAGAGGAAAAAGCATCTCCGGAGAAGGAGAACATTCCAGAAACCGAGACGGAGGTTTCCAAAGATAACATTCCTGAATCTGGTTCGTTCAAGGAAGAAAGCACCATTGTCTCGGACCTGCCAGAAACAGAGAAGAAGGCACTGCAAGAACTCAAACAACTCATTCAGGAAGCACTCCAAAAACACGAGTTTTCTGCGATTCAGAATAACCACCCTCCCAAAGATGAAAAGCCCGAAGATGCCACCGACAACAAGGAGGAAGAGAAGCCCGCCGA